TGGTGTGGATCCTAAAGGCAGTATTCTAGTCCTTCTCTTTCTTGAACAATTTTGACAGTTTCGATTCTGCCTCTTCACTCTGTCCCTTTTCGTCCATTATCGTGTCTTACAGTGCTTACCTAATAACTAAATGTCAAGTTGGGAGCTGGTAATTACATGCCCTGTCCTGTTCTCCTGCTCTCACTTCACCTTTTTCTCAATGAGCACCTGGAGTACCAACAATTTGATGTCACCCAGGTGAGCTATCTGGGTTGGCTCCTTGCTGCAGAACTTCTCAGATGAATGGTTTCCACAGGAAAAGCAAGTCTGTCATCTCCCTCCACCCCCATTTCTCTCTTTTTGTGGGGCTAAGGAATCAATCCCAGGATGTCACAAATACTAAGCAAGTACTCTACACTAAGCCTCATCCCCAGCCCTGTCAATTGATTTTTTAAATTAAACTTTTTTTTTTTCTTTTCCTGATTTAAACAGTCTCTACCCAACTTTCTAGACAATGGCACAGAACATGTTTTGTATATTATGTGACAGGTGAAAAGTGCTTCCAATGTATATAAATCTAATTTTAATTTCCAGATCTTTAACCTGTCTAACTTTCCATTGCTTAACTGAGATTCATAGAGAACTCCTTGCAAAAGGTATTTATTTTTTACTCAAATTGGGATTTATACTGACTCCTGAGCATATATATTTTGGGGGAATATTTGTATGTGGTAGGAAGAGTGAATTACTTATGAATTTTCTAACTGTTTTTTCATAACATTTATTCCCTTATCTCATTGTTCTTGGAGAGGTATTGATACTATGGTTTTTATTATTCTAAGATAGATCTTTAAGCTGGAGAAAGACTTTCTTTAAACTTGTTTATATGTCTAGAAAATAACCAACAGAGCTTGTGGAATGCCAATATCTTTGCATTGCCCAATTAAATTATAGTTATAGAGGATACTGAATTTTCTGACCTAGGTCTTCTTATTTGTGGTATTGTGATTATGGCAATGTCAAGTTAACTTAAAATTGTACTTTTTTCCCCTTGCCACATTCCCACCCCGCTTTATTTTTTATTTATTTATTTTTTTATAATTAATGAGGACCACATTCTTTTTTTTTTAAAGAGAGAGAGGGAGACAATTTTAATATTTATTTTTCAGTTTTCGGCGGACACAACATCTTTGTTTGTGACACAACATCTTTGTTGGTATGTGGTGCTGAAGATCAAACCCAGGTTGCACGCATGCCAAGCGAGCGCGTTACCACTTGAACCACATCCCCAGCCCTTATTTTTTATTTATTACATTGTTCACATATCCGGTGCACATTTGCAAATCCTAAAAAGGTGAAACGTGAAATAAACTTATTTTGAGGGAGTCAGAAGGACAAAGAAAGCCACTTGCCTGAGATGATTAGAAAGTAAAGAATTTATAGTGAGCATCTCCAGAAAGATTTATACTATTCTTTTTGAAAAAGTCATACTCTCAGGCTGGGGTTGTGGCTCAGTGGTAGAGTGCTCACCTAGCATGCATGAGGCACTGGGTTTGAACCTCAGCACCACATTAAAAAAATAAAATAAAGATATTGTGTCTACCTAAAACTAAAGTCTAAGTGTTTTAAAAAATATACTCTGTAGGCTTGCTTGTTTAAAAAGAAGGGATGACTCTTAAGCTTATGATTTTAGTTGGGTACTATGATGTATGTCTCTAATTCCAGCTACTCAGGAAGCTGAGGCAGGGGGATGGCAAGTTCAAGGCCAACTTGGGCAATTTAGACTCTATATCCACAATAAAAAAATAAAGAGGGGTGGGAATGTGGCAAGGGGGGGAAAAAAGTACAATTTTAAGTTAACTTGACATTGCCATGATTACAATACCACCATATATTTTTCTACTTGGCCGTACAGCAAGATTTACAGATGTTTGCTAGTTCCTGAAGCATCTGGAAGAGCTGTTGATTCATCCATCCACCAGTATTTTATAATCCCTTTCTAGGAAGAAGATGCTACAACAGTAATCAGGGGACACTTGTTAATCCTAGTTAAGACCCAGGCAGAGAATTAAACATTGTCTTTACAATGTTTATTACATTGTTCAAATATCCGGTGCACATTTGCAAATCCTAAAAAGGTGAAACGTGAAATAAACTTATTGTGATTTAATCACGTGTACATCTCATTTTCATCATGTGTAAAATTATGTACTGTCTTTTTAATAGCTTAACACATGATCTTGGCTCAATAACTCTTTGTTGATGGCAGACCAGATGAAAGAAAAGGTATAAAATGAACTCCTTACCCCCACTCTACCTTCCACAATAGATTGCATTGTAGGGCTTTTTACCATTTTCTTCCAATTAATTTTTGGTGGACATCAAGCAAGATGGGCTCAAACTCAGGCCCCAAATCTGTGCTTATAGCTTTCATCAGATTAATTTTCACTTTAAAGTGTGAGCACAAAACAATTAAATGAAGACAGAACCTTGTGAGATAGGAAGTAGATAGCCTGAATTGTAGC